AAAATTCCTAAGTTTAATAATTCTATAATTTCCAAAATTTCTAACTAATAATTTCCATAATTTCCAATATTTCTAACTTTAATAACTTCACAACTTAGAAATTTTTATACTCTGATCCTGAAACACTTAATTACCAACAACTTCGAACTTTCATCCCTTTTCCCATTTCCAAACACAAAACAGAGCCCCACAATAAAAAAACACATCCATACGTACTCAAATATCGTGACGGACAACAAACGGTCCCTCGTCAATTTTTCCCTCGACTCTTCAAACAAGATTTGCAAAATCGAAGCGTGTGCGTCGGCATTGTTACACATAGATATGTCGTTTAACGTTAACTACCAAAAGAAACTGGTTTTAAAAACATAAATGCAAAGTAGTTAAAACACTTGCATAGCAACGAATTGTACGGTGTCTACACGTGTTGTAGAGGTACAATACCGTGTAGTAATTCTAGGGCATTTCGAACCTCCTCTTAGTTTCTTCTTATTTCATTACTGTCACGACAAAAAGCGAATTACTTTACGTTTCTCGAACTTTCTTATAAACGTTTTCCTCTCGCAAATCCAGTTCGCTCGTAAAGGAATTCAATTAAAAATTCTACTTTCCCGGGCAACGTCTCGCGGTAGATTTTAATTAACACCTGTTCCCATAATTTCACCATTTACCTTCGTTTCTGTATGAGATTGTACAAATGTACAGATTCCCGTGTAAAATTTCGCAAACATAAATTTCTATACCCAATAAAATTGCACAAATTAGATTATAATTACGTTATAATCACAATGACTGAGTGTTTCACCGAAAAAACTTTCGTCTGAAAATTCTTCCCGTTAAGTTTACTTTAAGGTATCAATCATTTAGAAGGACGCGCATTTTCGAACTGAAAGATCGTAGATAGCTAATCCGTCGAAATTTAACGTTACTTAACGTAATTGTATCACTTCGCTTTTTATATTTCTAATTATATATCGTTAAAATACAGTACAGGAAACGATGAAATGTAACACTTCTGATTGATGTCTTTTGTAATTCGTTTGTACGACATTGAAACCTATGTGATTAGTGAGTTGTCGATGCTAGAGTACCGCTAGCCGAGTTTTTATTCCGATGTAAATGATACCGTAAAGGAGGACAGTAAAAAACATTATTTCTAACGTTTTTCTGTATAATGACAGTAGGTTGGAAAATTGTGCAATTTTGCACGCGAGTTTTGAGTCAATGATAAAAGATCGGTAACTCTAGGATAGAATTTTTTATCAATTTTCCATGATTCCACGAAGAAATTTATTCAGAATACTACAAAAGCTCGTTGTACCATAATTATTCTAATTTTGGTGAGTTTGCTCGTAACGTTTTATTTTTCAAATCGAACAAAAGTAAGATTAGAAACAAATGTGCAAATTGTTCATTTTGCGAAGGAAAATTTTCAGAGTAAGCAGTTGACAAGTTGACAAAATTATTGTTGCAATTTAATTGGCAAGAACGCGAGCAAATATTTAGATTTGGAAGTACATGTTGATTTTTGGCGCATTTCCCTTTTTACGCTAGTACTTTGTGATTCCTTTGCTCCAATGAACTTCTGTTATTGCAATCAAAGAACCGTTTGGAAACATAGCACGAAACTTCGACACGTAGTGAATCTTATCAAAACAGCGAACTTCAACGACTCGTTGAACTCTGGGGGATAGTGTTTACAGAGCAGCCAGCGAGATCGAGTTGTAAACAGTCCGATAACATCGGTTAATTGCCGTTGTTGGAATACCAGCTGTAAAACGATTTTACTAATTTTTACCAATAATTCTTCACCCATTTTTTACTTTAAAATGTACTTTTCACAAAAGCTCCTCCCATTTTTGAATCTTTCATCATTTCTTGAACTTCTTGATACTTTTTACACAATCTCCTCCCATTTTTTTTAAACTTTCATTATTTCTCAAAATTCTTGGCTCCTCTTTTTAGGTTAAAATATACTGTTCACAGAATCTCCTGCCATTTTTGGAAACTTTCATTATTTCTTAATTGTCTTGATACATTTTTCACTTTAAAATGTACTTTTCACAGAATCTCCTCCCATTTCTTCAAACTTTAACTATTTCTCAAAATTCTCGATAAATATTTTACTTGAAAATATGCTTTTCAACGAACCATAACACTTCTCCCTTTTTTTAAAGCTTTTGTTATTTTTTCATATTTCTTATGTTTCGATATAATTCGTACTGCAGTAATAGTTTGAATATAAAACTGAAATTAATTCTGCAGCAGACTGCAAACAATCGCAGTTTCCAATTTTTCCCTTTTTCTGAATAAACTATTATATTATAATCAAATAACATTCAAATGTAATTACATACTATATAGTGCATTTTTCAGGCTGTCGCTAATAATCTCGCGTATGACCTAAATCACAGTGACATAAATCATTCAAAAAAAAAGAAAATTCTTCTTATTGACTGTAACAAATAATTATGAAAATCTGCCAATTTTAACATACACGTCGATACACTCTACGTTCCAGACGTTTATTTACACCCACAAGTACCAATCATACATTATCTCTTATCACACATTCTCAATCTAAAATCCATTGTCACCACTCCTCAGCTCCTCCCAAAAGAAATTTCCAAAATACCGGATTATGGGAGTTATTGGTTGTTAAATGATTAACAATCCTTATTTTAGACTATAAACTTTTATTAGACACAAGGAAGGTTCGCTTTTCTACTTGATGGTAAGAGCACTGTATGCAGACTGAGAATGCTCCTACGCAACGCCCTAATATTGCCTTACGGCCCCGCTTGGGACCGAAGGGCCTTTTGTCACGTATCATAAACGTTTAGATCTTTACTAAACAGAGGTGGTAAGGCTAAACGGATTCGTCGTAAAATCGGTTAGGCGTCAAAGTAAACATGTTTTAGCTGCAGGGACCCCGAAATTGATAGAAATACGAGCAGATAAGTACTTGAAACCATGGTCAGGACCGTACAAAGAATTCTTCTATCCAGCGAAAGTCAAACTGATTCTAATATATTTACTGAAAATTGAGTTCAGCTAGGACAATTTAGGGTTTTTTTCTTCTGGGAAAAGCCGCATTTGGAAGTACGGTTACAAGATGCAGATAGAAAATGCAAAAGGATTGTGTAGCTTTAATATTAACATATTTTCCATTTGTAAATGAAATACCATTTTCTACTTGAAGTACCAAATCATATGCTACCATTCGTTTATTGTTGGAACCCTCAAACAGACTGCAACACACGGCCTTGAGTGCCGCAACATCAATCGATGCCGATTCTTGAGAGTTTAATTTACGACCTCGCTATATCGTGGCCCCAACTATACTTCCTAGTGTCGTCGAATCACTTTAGACGGTGGATTTTACGAATTATCTTCATTTGCTGATAGTTTTCTTTACGCTGTGGTTTTGCGAATATAAAGCGTGCGGTCTAAACTGCCTTGTTATTCAATACTGACTGCCTTTCGTTCTTTTTCGAGGCTGCCTTTATATTGGGGTTTTTGGGAGTTGCGGGTGGGGGAATTTAGGAATGTGTAAGGATAACGATCAGGATTGAGGGTTCGATGGTACGGGAGAAGAATTGCAGGGACAATGGTTAGGTAATGAACTTAAGGATTCGGTACAAAAGAAATGGGTAGAGTGCGTCAGTTTGAGGATCTGCCGGAGATGGGACAGGAATTCGGTGGGAAAGTGGAAAACGCGCAGGTTGTTGTCGAAACGGTACCTGGGATAAGGATCTGTGTGCATGAGAGTCAAGGGGCAAAGGGATGAGGATTCGACACTAGTAAGGCTTTAGATTAATTTCTGTTATACCTAACTGACTGATAAATCTAACACAAAAAACCATCACCATGATTACCAGCTCTACATTTTCCCCTCGATATCTCCATATCTCTCTCCCATATTTCCACGCATCAACGTGACTTCCGTTCCGCTCTTATCGCTAAATTCTGGCTGGGTGACAGCACGTCATTCGCAGGAACGAAGAAATCTCACGTTGAGGAATAAAGCGAGTGCCTTTTTCTCCCCATTGTCGAGACGATCCGAGTAGCAAGTCCTTTCAGCCTGTGTTGACGCCGATTGTGCGGCCTTTTAGTGCCAGTCCAGCACCGAAAGTATTGTGCGCGAAGTGAAGGGTAGGCGCGAGGCCGCATAGAAAGGAACTTCCCGTACACCGTAAATCAACCGTGGCGCGGGATAATT